TTCCTTTTATATGAGCTGTAACGATGTGATTTTACCTTACTACTTTTTTAACAATAATTGATTAGCTTGTTATAGTTATACACTAATGAACACTTAGTTCATTGTGTGTGTGTGTGTGTGTCTTTATTCTCACTAAACTCCATAAACGTTACGTTGCTAAGCAACGTACAACAATCCTTAAACGTCCGAGATTATATAAACCGTCAATATAAAAAAAAAATAAAGAAAACAAAAGTTTTGACAGTCAATCTTAAAACTATTAAAAGAACATCAAAATACAATGACAAAAACCCAAATTTAGAACCTTGTTTGGCCTGAATGGATGAAAAGCTCCCGGCCTGAAATGTCCCACTCCGGCCCTGCTTCTGGTCTCCTCCCTGCAGCAGCAGAGAGATGGAGTTGGAGGCAGCCAGAGAAAAACCAGCGTATTGCTCCTCAAAGGCGGCGTAGGTCTTAGATTCATTCTTCATCAGAGAGACTTATTGTATTTGCTAAAAGATTTTAAAATATGAACACGAAAGAGGTAGACTCCGTTGGTGGGGGCTGTGAAGATCCCTGCAGCAGATCGTCACAATATTACACAGAACATGTCATGTCATTTTTTACCCCTTTATTAATCCATTTCTGGGTCGGGGGTGTGGCAATCAGAGCTGCATCTTCTGTTCCCACCTGTGGGGGAGCACGGGCGCTGACATACTTGCAATACCAGTCCAGTGGGGGCACAACCAGAAAGAGGAGTGTCCAGAGACCAGAGACACACATGTCACTTTTAATGCAAGATGTTGATGGTTCCATGTTTTTATGTGTAGGTTTTAAGAGTCAAAGGTTTGTGTAAAGTTTGGTTTAAGTAACTGCTCCTGTCAATCACACTACTGCGTGATGCAGTCATATTGACTCCTGTCAATCACACTCACATTTGTTCATGATCATTTTTTGGCTTTAGTTCCCTCTTCTCTTCCTCACTGTTGTGTCGTTTGGGCTGTTTTGCTGAGTCTGCAGTTACAGCCAGAGGAGTTATTGCCACTTTCAGCTAACATGCTGCTGTGTTTACCTGTAGACGCTAGAGGAGGCGTGGCCTAGAGGAGGCGTGGCCTGTTCTAACAGCGCATCTGAGTTTGCTGAGTGTGACCAGTGAAGGTCTTCTCCCTAAATGCAGTGTCTCTGTGTCTGAGACATTCACAGAGTTTCTAACAGCAGTTTGAGTTCACAGAGCTGCACCATGAGTTTATTTCATTAAAAACCAGTTCTTCAGCATCTGTGACCAGTGGGGGCGGGTCCTGGCTCAAAAGTGGCCAAAATGACGTGCTCTGACGTGCTGCAATACCACCCCGGGCCGATGGGGGTGGACCCGGAATAAGAATTAGCCAATGCTAACATATAGCATTAGCAGACCTCTCAAAAACGTCTTTACAGGATGGAACAAAAGTTGGCTCTTGGCCCAAAGCTCCGTTCCACATGTGTCAATGCTGAGGGGGGTGGATTTTTTTGGTCCACTCTAGTTTACTCGCGGGGAATTTTTGAAGTCTCTCGTTCAAATGAATGGAGTTGCGCCGGCTGACTCATGCGCAGATGCGTTTTTTCACAATTTTTTTGTGGGTGGGCCCACTCGCGGCCATATTAGATTGCTCCAGTAGAGCACATTTTTTGGCCCATTTGTTTGAACGGCGGAGATAGGCGTGACTCTGTCCGTTAATATATAGTCTATGGTCCCAGCTCAAAAGTGTCCAATATGACGTGCTGCAATACCACCCCAGGCCTGTGGAGGTGGACCCGGCGTGGCTAAGTCCGTTAATATATAGTTTATGCTGCGGACACGTTAGCAGCACTTGTCTAATGTTTATCATGTTAATAAAATAAATAAAAACCAGAGAGAACGGTTATGAATGTGACTTTATGTTTCCATCACATCTGCAGCGTCTCACACACATTTAAACTAACTTCACTTGTCGTTGCTTCATCAGTAACTCACAACATCAAACATTTATATTATACACATTCATGAGTGATTTAAAGAACAATAAATTAACCCAAAAAACAAACTCAGATTTTAACAATGGAACTCCCAGAGCTGCATTTAGACTTTCATTCAAACCAACAGAAATCTGAGAAATTACCCCCAAAAAGTGTTTAGTTTTTCACCATATTTATTAAAAGTAAGTGATGTATGAGGACTTTTACCTGTTCTCACTTTTACTTAGTGCTAGAACTGGTGAATTTTAACAGAAATACAGCAAAGAGCACTTTGTTGAAAAGCTAATGCTAATTGCTGCAAGTAAACAGTGTGTTGCTATGGTAACTTCGGGTCCATGCGCTGACATATTGCAATCTCACTCCGGGCCTGTGGGGGTGTACCCGGAAAAAGAATTACCCAATGCTTTTGTATGGCGCCTTCTTTCCTCTCGAAAAACCTCTTTACAGGATGGTCCCAAAGTGGGTCCCAGAAGTCCACAGCTCAGACTAGTCCACAGCTCCGACTAATCCACAGCTCAGACTAGTCCACAGCTCAGACTAATCCACAGCTCAGACTAGTCCACAGCTCAGACTAATCCACAGCTCAGACTAATCCACAGCTCAGACTAATCCACAGCTCAGACTAATCCACAGCTCAGACTAATCCACAGCTCAGACTAATCCACAGCTCAGACTAATCCACAGCTCAGACTAGTCCACAGCTCAGACTAGTCAACAGTCAGACTAATCCACAGCTCAGACTAATCCACAGCTCAGACTAATCCACAGCTCAGACTAATCCACAGCTCAGACTAATCCACAGCTCAGACTAATCCACAGCTCAGACTAATCCACAGCTCAGACTAGTCCACAGCTCAGACTAGTCCACAGCTCAGACTAATCCACAGCTCAGACTAGTCCACAGCTCAGACTAATCCACAGCTCAGACTAGTCCACAGCTCAGACTAATCCACAGCTCAGACTAATCCACAGCTCAGACTAATCCACAGCTCAGACTAATCCACAGCTCAGACTAGTCCACAGCTCAGACTAGTCCACAGCTCAGACTAGTCCACAGCTCAGACTAATCCACAGCTCAGACTAGTCCACAGCTCAGACTAGTCCACAGCTCAGACTAATCCACAGCTCAGACTAATCCACAGCTCAGACTAATCCACAGCTCAGACTAGTCCACAGCTCAGACTAATCCACAGCTCAGACTAATCCACAGCTCAGACTAGTCCACAGCTCAGACTAGTCCACAGCTCAGACTAGTCCACAGCTCAGACTAGTCCACAGTCAGACTAGTCCTGTGCGAATGAGGCTTCGGATGAAAATAAGGACATCGAGAAAAAACTACACAGAGAAACAGAGAAATCATACTGGCCAAACTAAAAGCCGTCGAATTGACTGCTCTGGGAATTCCAGTGATCTACAGACCTGCTCCTGTTAAAAAGACCACGTCATGCATTACATACATTATCTTTAGAATTTATATTTTGGCCTTTTGTGATTTAGAAAGACTTGAAGTTGAAAATATATGGATAAAAATGATAAATTGTGGTCACAGTAAAATTGCACATGACTCAGGACTCTTCACTGGTTGTAAACAAACCATCACATTTCAGTCATTTACTCTATTTTTACACATCTTTAAAGGAAATAAAGTCAAAAAACAAAAAACACATGATATGAAAATATTGGTCATAAATCAGTAAATCCCAAAACACTGAGGTACAGCTACGAAAATAAACAATATTAAAGCTGGGTTCAGTAACGTTCCCAAGACGTCATGAGAATCTGGGCAAACGTGTCTTCACAGAAGTTATCAGGGTTTCTCTGACTGAATAGAGCTGGTCTCTCTCTGGTCTCTCTCTGGTCTCTCTCTGGTCTCTCTCTGGTCTCTCTCTGGTCTCTCTCTGGTCTCTCTCTGGTCTCTCTCTGGTCTCTCTCTGGTCTCTCTCTGGTCTCTCTCTGGTCTCTCTCTGGTCTCTCTCTGGTCTCTCTCTGGTCTCTCTCTGGTCTCTCTCTGGTCTCTCTCTGGTCTCTCTCTGGTCTCTCTCTGGTCTCTCTCTGGTCTCTCTCTGGTCTCTCTCTGGTCTCTCTCTGGTCTCTCTCTGGTCTCTCTCTGGTCTCTCTCTGGTCTCTCTCTGGTCTCTCTCTGGTCTCTCTCTGGTCTCTCTCTGGTCTCTCTCTGGTCTCTCTCTGGTCTCTCTCTGGTCTCCCTCTGGTCTCCCTCTGGTCTCTCCCTCTGGTCTCTCCCTCTGGTCTCTCCCTCTGGTCTCTCCCTGGTCTCTCCCTCTGGTCTCTCTCTGGTCTCTCCCTCTGGTCTCTCTCTCTAGTCTCTCTCTAGTCTCTCTCTAGTCTCTCTCTGGCCTCTCTCTGGTCTCTCCCTGGTCTCTCCCTCTAGTCTCTCTCTGGTCTCTCTCTCTAGTCTCTCTCTGGTCTCTCTCTGGTCTCTCTCTTGTCTCTCTCTTGTCTCTCTCTCTTGTCTCTCTCTCTTGTCTCTCTCTGGTCTCTCCCTCAGGTCTCTCTCTGGTCTCACTCTGGTCTCTCCCTCTGGTCTCTCTCTCTAGTCCCTCTCTAGTCTCTTTCCCTCTGGTCTCTCTCCGGTATAAAATATAGCCTTAAATGTCTCCCTTGGAGATAGTGTGAAGAGCTCAAAGTAGACCCGCTGCTCCTTCATATATAAAGTAGAAGAAAGTGGATGGATGATTTTGCTAAACTTCAGTGTTGCCATGGCGATCTGTGAGCAATAATAAAACAAACGTCACATTTCTATCAGTAAATCAATGTACCGTTCATACAGTGACTCTCTGGCTCCCTCTGCAGGACGGACACGAAATGTACCAAACTAAAATAAGCAATCGTTTTGAACAATCTGGATTAATATGGCGTTCCTACAGCGTTGTTGCCGTAGAGACGGTCACAGCCGACTCCTCTGTCCAGGATTTCTCCAGGAGCCACAGTAAAAAATACTTGTTCGACGTTGTCCTCATGATTCTCAGTAAAACAGGCAGTTCTTGGTTTTGTCATGATCAGGTTTGGATTCAGGAAACCACAGCCGTCATGTCCCACAGCTGTGAGAGAGACAAGAGGCAGGTTAGACTTAGACTGCTTTAGAGACAGTCTCTCACGTCTCTCTCTCTGGTCTCTCTCTCTCTGGTCTCTCTCTCTCTGGTCTCTCTCTGGTCTCTCCCTCTCTGGTCTGTATCTGTCTGGTCTGTATCTCTCTGGTCTCTCTCTGGTCTCTCTCTGGTCTCTCTCTGGTCTCTCTCTGGTCTGTATCTCTCTGGTCTCTCCCTCTCTGGTCTCTCCCTCTCTGGTCTCTCCCTCTCTGGTCTCTCCCTCTCTGGTCTCTCCCTCTCTGGTCTCTCCCTCTCTGGTTTCTCCCTCTCTGGTCTCTCCCTCTCTGGTCTCTCCCTCTCTGGTCTCTCCCTCTCTGGTCTCTCCCTCTCTGGTTTCTCCCTCTCTGGTTTCTCCCTCTCTGGTTTCTCCCTCTCTGGTTTCTCCCTCTCTGGTTTCTCCCTCTCTGGTTTCTCCCTCTCTGGTTTCTCCCTCTCTGGTTTCTCCCTCTCTGGTTTCTCCCTCTCTGGTTTCTCCCTCTCTGGTCTCTCCCTCTCTGGTCTCTCCCTCTCTGGTCTCTCCCTCTCTGGTCTCTCCCTCTCTGGTCTATATCTCTCTGGTCTGTATCTCTCTGGTCTCTCTCTGGTCTGTATCTCTCCGGTCTCTCTCTGGTCTGTATCTCTCTGGTCTCTTTCTGGTCTGTATCTCTCTGGTCTGTATCTCTCTGGTCTCTCTCTGGTCTGTATCTCTCTGGTATCTCTCTGGTCTGTATCTCTCTGGTCTGTATCTCTCTGGTCTGTATCTCTCTGGTCTGTATCTCTCTGGTCTGTATCTCTCTGGTCTGTATCTCTCTGGTCTGTATCTCTCCGGTCTCTCTCTGGTCTGTATCTCTCTGGTCTGTATCTCTCTGGTCTCTCATGAACATGAACCAAGGACCTGCAGACGTCACTCAGGCCACAGAGGAGGTCTGGCCTTGGTCCGGCCTCGGCCCGGCCTCGGTCTCTGGGCTCCGTACCTTGAGGACCTTGTCTGTGCCGGAGGTGAGCAGGCAGCCGGTGGTGGGCTCGTAGTGCATGTGGACCACGTTATGTTTGCTGTGGTGGAAGGTGGCGGTGGGAGCACGGCTGGAACACAACATCATGCAAGTTTATTGGTGTAGCACAGTTCATATACAAGGCACAACAAAGACCAGAACAAAACAAATGACAAGAGGCCAGTCCCTGTGCTCCTCAGAGTCCCAGCAGGAGGCCAGTCCCTGTGCTCCTCAGAGTCCCAGCAGGAGGCCAGTCCCTGTGCTCCTCAGAGTCCCAGCAGGAGGCCAGTCCCTGTGCTCTTCAGAGTCCCAGCAGGAGGCCAGTCCCTGTGCTCTTCAGAGTCCCAGCAGGAGGCCGGTCCCTGTGCTCTTCAGAGTTAGACCACAGACAGGAGTGGTCTAACTAACACTGGAGGTAAATTGTGGATAGAATCTCAGCGTTGATTTAGACGTTATACATGGACCTCCTGCGTCATGGACCTCCTGCGTCATGGGCCTCCTGCGTCATGGACCTCCTGCGTCATGGGCCTCCTGCGTCATGGACCTCCTGCGTCATGGACCTCCTGCGTCATGGACCTCCTGCGTCATGGACCTCCTGCGTCATGGACCTCCTGCGTCATGGACCTCCTGCGTCATGGGCCTCCTGCGTCATGGACCTCCTGCGTCATGGGCCTTCTGCGTCATGGGCCTCCTGCGTCATGGGCCTCCTGCGTCATGGGCCTCCTGCGTCATGGACCTTCTGCGTCATGGGCCTCCTGCGTCATGGGCCTCCTGCGTCATGGACCTTCTGCGCCATGGGCCTCCTGCGTCATGGACCTCCTGCGTCATGGGCCTCCTGCGTCATGGGCCTCCTGCGTCATGGGCCTCCTGCGTCATGGACCTTCTGCGCCATGGGCCTCCTGCGTCATGGACCTCCTGCGTCATGGGCCTCCTGCGTCATGGGCCTCCTGCGTCATGGGCCTCCTGCGTCATGGACCTTCTGCGCCATGGGCCTCCTGCGTCATGGACCTTCTGCGTCATGGGCCTCCTGCGTCATGGACCTTCTGCGTCATGGGCCGAGTCACGTCAATAAGACGTTTATATTTAAACGTATGTCAGGAAGAATTTTTCTGACCAATAGAAATGCTGCATATGTTGTTGTGTGACAGGTTTCTATATCATTTAAAAAGGAAGAAGGAGGAGAGAGAGGAGAGAGAGAGAGTGCATGGGGAGAGAGGGGGGTGAGAAGGAGAGAAGATAGGAGAGGAGGAGGAGGAGAGACACTCACTCGTCGTCCGTGATGGAGGAGAAGCAGCCGTCACAGACTCGCACCTGGAACTCGAAGCCCATCAGAGGAATGGAGGAGCGCCGAGAGGAGCACTTCCCACACACGGCCTGACCGCACTTCCTACAGTGGTGCTGCAGGGGGCGACAGAGACACCTTTATCTGGACCTCACCACTTCTACTTTGATGAAGGATGTATTGTTTGCTATTGGAGCTGCTTTAACAGATGTGATGAGGGGGAGGTGTTGGGTCAGAGGGTGTTTGGGCCTGTGTCTTTTCTGAGTGTGTTGTACGATCCAACTACTCCTTAAACTATGTATTATTTTTGCCCTTTGTTCATAAGTTTTTAATAATCATACTACATGTTCCAGCTCAGACCTGCGGGGGGCGCTGTCTCACCTGTCGGAGGCCGATCTTCTTGCTGTCCCACATCTGTTTGAAGTTCCAGAAAAACGGCTGCTCGCATTTCTGACACGAGTCGCTGTCCAGCCACTCTGGAGTCTGCAGCACAGGGACAGAAACACCACATGACTCATACTGTCCAATCAGAGGTCGGCCTGAGAGATCCTGCATTCCTATTGGACCAATGGCTCTGTGTTGGAACGGTTTGATTCTCTGATCTGGTGAGGAATGGACAACTTCAGTTCAGTTTTTTGAGACGATTGCTGTTGTGATTGAGGGCTAAACACAAATCATTTGAAAATAAATTGCATTCACCAAGGTAGTAAGTAATATTTATTTATATAGCGCCTTTCTCAGACCAGAGTCACAAAGCGGTTTACATTTGTGGGCATTTGTCTCTCGCTCCACACAGAGATTGGAGCGGGGCCAGTACAGGAGGCACATGCAAGGCCTATTCTATATGTCTTTAGTGGCAGGGGAAACCAGAGCACCCGGAGGAAACCTGAGAGAAGCGAGAGTGCTAACCACTCAGCCACCGTGCTGCCCAAGGCAAGTTTAATTGTACAGCATAGTTCAGAGAGCAGAGAGAGAGAGAGCAGAGAGAGAGAGAGACCAGCGAGAGAGAGACAAGAGAAAGAGAGCAGAGAGAGATCAAAGAGAGAGAGGGTCCACAGAGATCAGAGAGAAAGTGAGTGGAGAAAGACCAGAGAGAGAGACTAGAGCGAGAGACCAGAGAGAGAGAATTGAGAGACCAAAACCTGGAGCTACCCTTTCTCAAAAGAAGTCACTATCAAAAAAATGGAATTGGGTTTTTGATGATGTTGGATATAGTTCAACATCACAGATACTCAGGGGTGAATGCTGCCCTCTGATTATCTGGCGCCCCTCTCACCATCTGATTATCTGGCGCCCCTCTCACCATCTGATTATCTGGCGCCCGTCTCACCATCTGATTATCTGGCGCCCGTCTCACCTCTGATTATCTGGCGCCCGTCTCACCTCTTGCCGCGTGACGTCCATGTTCCAGACGACGATGGATCCGTCGGAGCTGCAGGAGATGAGCTGTCGAGTGTGGGAGGCGTAGCACAGACCCTCGATCTTCTCACTGGACCAAAGAAAGAGAGAGAATCAGGAGAGAGACTTGAGACCAGAGAGAGAGAGAGAGAGAGTGGCCAGAGAGAGAGAGACCAGAGAGAGAAGAGAGAGGGATACCAGAGAGAGAGAGAGAGAGAGAGAGAGGTCAGAGAGAGATACCAGAGAGAGAGACCAGAGAGATACCAGAGAGAGAGACTAGAGGGAGAGACCAGAGAGAGAGACTCGAGGGAAAGACCAGAGAGAGATACCAGAGAGAGAGATTAGAGGGAGAGACTAGAGGGAGAGACCAGAGAGAGAGACCAGAGAGAGAGATTAGAGGGAGAGACTAGAGGGAGAGACCAGAGAGAGAGACCAGAGAGAGAGAAACTAGAGGGAGAGACTAGAGGGAGAGACCAGAGAGAGAGACCAGAGAGAGAGAGAGACTAGAGGGAGAGACCAGAGAGAGAGACCAGAGAGAGAGAAACTAAAGGGAGAGACCAGAGGGAGAGACCAGAGAGAGAGAGAGAGACCAGAGAGAGAGACTAGAGGGAAAGACCAGAGAGAGATACCAGAAAGAGAGACTAGAGGGAGAGACCAGAGAGAGAGAAACTAAAGGGAGAGACCAGAGGGAGAGACCAGAGAGAGAGACCAGAGAGAGAGACTAGAGGGAAAGACCAGAGAGAGATACCAGAAAGAGAGACTAGAGGGAGAGACCAGAGAGAGATACCAGAGAGAGAGACTAGAAGGAGAGACCAGAGAGAGAGACCAGAGAGAGAGAAACTAGAGGGAGAGACCAGAGGGAGAGACTAGAGGGAGAGACCAGAGAGAGATATCAGAGAGAAAGACTGGTCTCTCTCACTGAACCAAAGGAAGCAGCAGAAAATCAGGAGAGAGACTTTAGAATCTGCTCTATCTCTCATCTCTCTTTGACAGAAATGGGAGTCATTATTGCACCGTTATTTAATGTGAGATGTAAAATATTTAAGATTTAAAACATGTTATAAAGTGAGAGTCGCAGAATCATTTCAAGATGTGATTCAAACAAATAAACACAGGGACATGTTGCTGGACACAAAGCAGGAGAAAGGAGAATCTGACTACATTAGACAGGTCTGTGACTTTAACACTGACATCTAGTGGACACATTTGATCATTGCAGGTTCAAATACCTCCTCTGTCCATTAGAAGTTGTCAAAAGAGAACTGTGTTATACATTAGTGCAGTGTTTTTAAACCTTTTTTGCGGCACTTTTTTCATTGAAATATCTCCGGCGCACCACCAGGAGAAAAAGTAAAAATATATTCTCTGTGTCCTAGATTTACAATAGTGCTTTAATAGACATCCTCGTCGTTAAGCTTTGTTTAATATTTCTCAATACAAAGAGTTAACAAGTATTTGGGAATAAAGTGGCACTAACTGTGTGGAATAAACATTAACAAATCCACTCTCCGCCCAAAAAGTCAAATAATGACTCAGAGGGCTCTTAAATTTGCTAAATAATTTTTAAAAAATGGCCTGTTGTGCGTTCTGTTTGATTTGTTCTCAACATTTTACTTTTGAGCACAAATTCATTGTTTATGCATCAGAAAAATGTTGGCATCAGAGCTTTAAATTTGGGCGTTTTGGTTGTGCTTCAGGGAGACGCGGGAGACACACAGGAGAGACACGGGGGAGACACAGGAGACACACAGGAGAGACACGGGGGAGACACACAGGAGAGACACGGGGAAGACACAGGAGAGACACGGGGGAGACACAGGAGAGACACGGGGAAGACACGGGGGAGACACACAGGAGAGACACGGGGGAGACACAGGAGAGACACGGGGGAGACACACAGGAGAGACACGGGGGAGACACACAGGAGAGACACGGGGGAGACACAGGAGAGACACGGGGAAGACACGGGGGAGACACAGGAGAGACACGGGGAAGACACGGGGGAGACACAGGAGAGACACGGGGAAGACACGGGGGAGACACACAGGAGAGACACGGGGAAGACACGGGGGAGACACACAGGAGAGACACGGGGGAGACACAGGAGAGACACGGGGGAGACACACAGGAGAGACACGGGGGAGACACACAGGAGAGACACGGGGGAGACACACAGGAAAGACACGGGGAGACACACAGGGGAGACACGGGGAAGACACGGGGGAGACACACAGGAGAGACACGGGGGAGACACAGGAGAGACAACTGGGAAGACACACAGGAGAGACACGGGGGAGACACACAGGAGAGACACGGGGGAGACACACAGGAAAGACACGGGGGAGACACACATGAGAGACACACAGGAGAGACACGGGGGAGACACACAGGAGACACACAGGAGAGACACGGGGGAGACACACAGGAAAGACACGGGGGAGACACACAGGAGAGACACGGGGAAGACACGGGGGAGACACACAGGAGAGACACGGGGGAGACACACAGGAAAGACACGGGGGAGACACACATGAGAGACACACAGGAGAGACACGGGGGAGACACACAGGAAACACACAGGAGAGACACACAGGAGAGACACGGGGAAGACACGGGGGAGACACACAGGAAAGACACGGGGGAGACACACAGGAGAGACACGGGGGAGACACACAGGAGAGACACGGGGGAGACACACAGGAGAGACACGGGGGAGACACACAGGAAAGACACGGGGAAGACACACAGGAGAGACACGGGGGAGACACACAGGAGAGACACGGGGGAGACACACAGGAGAGACACGGGGGAGACACACAGGAGAGACACGGGGGAGACACACAGGAAAGACACGGGGAAGACACACAGGAGAGACACGGGGGAGACACACAGGAGAGACACGGGGGAGGTACGGGAGAGACACAATGCTCCCTGCTTCCTGTTACATTTGGTGGTTGCATCCAAATCTTACGTTTCAAAGTCCTTAGAAATCTGCTGCCACCTACTGATAAGAAGAAGTATTACGAATTTCTCATGGCACACCGGACCATATCAAACGCACCGTGGTTGTCATGAGACACTGACACACGTTTGTCACATGAGCGGCTGTTTCAATACTCGCTCCGGAGCCTCGGGTTGTTTCACTAGATCCAGAGGTGATTTGAAATATAAAATGATTAAAACATGGATCAAACGTCTTCACCGACACTCGTCTAAGAATTTTACGTTTGTCTGATTTTGACTCGTTCTGCTCCTGCTCTGGTGCCCACTCATGTGTTGTCATGAACCAGACCTAGTTCCAGGAGATGATAGTGTGTCACCTGTGTCCCTGCAGCTCGATGGCGGTGCCCTTCCTTCCCCCGATGTCCCACATGATGATGGAGTGATCCGAGCTCCCAGAGAACAGCACCCTCTGAGCGGGATCCCAGCACAGAGCCGTCACGTTACCTGCAAACATCAACATCTCCTCACAAAACTGTTCACAGCTGCTGCCAGAACCACAGGCCAACACTTCAACTCCTTCACAAACATTGGACCACCCCCCGGTCTCCTTCATGTAGAGGGACCACCACCCCGGTCTCCTTCATGTAGAGGGACCACCACCCCGGTCTCCTTCATGTAGAGGGACCACCACCCCGGTCTCCTTCATGTAGAGGGACCACCACCCCGGTCTCCTTCATGTAGAGGGACCACCACCCCGGTCTCCTTCATGTAGAGGGACCACCACCCCGGTCTCCTTCATGTAGAGGGACCACCACCCCGGTCTCCTTCATGTAGAGAGGGACCACCACCTCGGTCTCCTTCATGTAGAGAGGGACCACCACCCCGGTCTCCTTCATGTAGAGGGACCACCACCTCGGTCTCCTTCATGTAGAGAGGGACCACCACCCCGGTCTCCTTCATGTAGAGGGACCACCACCTCGGTCTCCTTCATGTAGAGAGGGACCACCACCCCGGTCTCCTTCATGTAGAGGGACCACCACCCCGGTCTCCTTCATGTAGAGGGACCACCACCCCGGTCTCCTTCATGTAGAGAGGGACCACCACCCCGGTCTCCTTCATGTAGAGAGGGACCACCACCTCGGTCTCCTTCATGTAGAGAGGGACCACCACCCCGGTCTCCTTCATGTAGAGGGACCACCACCTCGGTCTCCTTCATGTAGAGAGGGACCACCACCCCGGTCTCCTTCATGTAGAGGGACCACCACCTTGGTCTCCTTCATGTAGAGAGGGACCACCACCTCGGTCTCCTTCATGTAGAGAGGGACCACCACCCCGGTCTCCTTCTTGTAGAGGGACCACCACCCAGGCCCCTTCTTGTAGAGGGACCACCACCCCGGGCCCCTTCTTGTAGAGAGGGACCACCACCCCGGGCCCCTTTTTGTAGAGAGGGACCACCACCAAGGCCCCTTCTTGTAGAGAGGGACCACCACCCCGGTCTCCTTCTTGTCGAGAGGGACCACCACCCCAGGCCCCTTCTTGTAGAGAGGGACCACCCCCCGAGTCTCCTTCATGTAGCGAGGGACCACCACCCCGGTCTCCTTCATGTAGAGGGACCACCAACCCCAGTCTCCTTCATGTAGAGGGACCACCAACCCCAGTCTCCTTCATGTAGAGGGACCACCACCCCGGTCTCCTTCATGTAGAGGGACCACCACCCCAGTCTCCTTCATGTAGAGGGACCACCACCCCGGTCTCCTTCATGTAGAGGGACCACCACCCCGGTCTCCTTCATGTAGAGAGAGACCACCATCCCGGTCTCCTTCATGTAGAGAGGGACCACCACCCCGGTCTCCTTCTTGTCGAGAGGGACCACCACCCCAGGCCCCTTCTTGTAGAGAGGGACCACCCCCCCAGGCCCCTTCTTGTAGAGAGGGACCACCATCCCAGTCTCCTTCATGTAGCGAGGGACCACCACCCCGGTCTCCTTCATGTAGAGGGACCACCACCCCAGTCTCCTTCATGTAGAGGGACCTCCACCCCGGTCTCCTTCATGTAGAGGGACCACCACCCCAGTCTCCTTCATGTAGAGGGACCACCACCCCGGTCTCCTTCATGTAGAGGGACCACCACCCCGGTCTCCTTCATGTAGAGAGGGACCACCACCCCGGTCTCCTTCATGTAGAGGGACCACCATCCCGGTCTCCTTCATGTAGAGAGAGACCACCAGCCCGGTCTCCTTCATGTAGAGAGGGACCACCACCCCGGTCTCCTTCATGTAGAGAGGGACCACCACCCCGGTCTCCTTCATGTAGAGGGACCACCACCGTAGGTCTCCTTCATGTAGAGAGGGACCACCACCCTCGCTCTCCTTCATGTAGAGGGACCACCACCGTAGGTCTCCTTCATGTAGAGAGGGACCACCACCCTCGCTCTCCTTCATGTAGAGGGACCACCACCTCGGTCTCCTTCATGTAGAGAGGGACCACCACCCCGGTCTCCTTCTTGTAGAGGGACCACCACCCAGGCCCCTTCTTGTAGAGGGACCACCACCCCGGGCCCCTTCTTGTAGAGAGGGACCACCACCCCGGTCTCCTTCTTGTCGAGAGGGACCACCCCCCCAGGCCCCTTCTTGTAGAGAGGGACCACCCCCCCAGGCCCCTTCTTGTAGAGAGGGACCACCACCCCGGTCTCCTTCTTGTAGAGAGGGACCACCACCTCGGTCTCCTTCATGTAGAGAGGGACCACCACCCCGGTCTCCTTCATGTAGAGAGGGACCACCACCCCGGTCTCCTTCTTGTAGAGAGGGACCACCACCTCGGTCTCCTTCTTGTAGATTGTAGAGAGGGACCACCACCACGGTCTCTTTCTTGTAGAGAGGGACCACCACCCCGGTCTCCTTCTTGTAGAGAGGGACCACCCCCCCAGGCCCCTTCCTGTAGAGAGGGACCACCACCCCGGTCTCCTTCATGTAGAGAGGGACCACCACCCCGGGCCCCTTCTTGTAGAGAGGGACCACCACCCCGGTCTCCTTCATGTAGAGGGACCACCCCCCGGTCTCCTTCATGTAGAGGGACCACCACCCCGGTCTCCTTCATGTAGAGGGACCACCACCTCGGTCTCCTTCATGTAGAGAGGGACCACCACCCTCGCTCTCCTTCATGCAGAGGGACCACCACCCCGGTCTCCTTCTTGTAGAGGGACCACCACCCAGGCCCCTTCTTGTAGAGGGACCACCACCCCGGGCCCCTTCTTGTAGAGTGGGACTACCACCCCGGGCCCCTTCTTGTAGAAAGGGACTACCACCCAGGCCCCTTCTTGTAGCGAGGGACCACCACCCCGGGCCCCTTCTTGTAGAGAGGGACCACCACCCCGGTCTCCTTCTTGAAGAGAGGGACCACCACCCTCGCTCTCCTTCATGTAGAGGGACCACCACCCCGGTCTCCTTCTTGAAGAGAGGGACCACCACCCCGGTCTCCTTCATGTAGAGGGACCACCACCTCGGTCTCCTTCATGTAGAGAGGGACCACCACCCCGGTCTCCTTCATGTAGAGGGACCACCACCTCGGTCTCCTTCATGTAGAGAGGGACCACCACCCCGGTCTCCTTCATGTAGAGGGACCACCACCTCGGTCTCCTTCATGTAGAGGGACCACCACCCCGGTCTCCTTCTTGAAGAGAGGGACCACCAGGGAGATGGTGGCCTCAGGGAGATGGAAGTACCCGCCCCAACATCCTGGACGTGACAGGGGATTGACGAGAACCTCGAAGTATTCCTTCCACCGCCCGACAATATGCTCCAACAGCTCCCCCCTGAGGCCACGGACAGTTTGCCAGAATCTTTTTGAGACTGACTGATAGTCCTGCTCCATGGACTCTCCAAACTCCTCCCAGTCCTGGTTCTTTGCAACAGCTGGACAGTGGCCTCAGGATACTAAGACACACTTTTCATTCATGTTTTGGACCAAGACCAGGTTCCAGGACTGATCCAGTTTGAAGGTTACCTGTGTGTCCTTTGAAGGTGGTGACCAGGCTGCAGGAGTCCTGTTCCAGCTTCAGGATGGTCACTTGTCCCGACTGATCTCCCACAAACGCATGGCGAGTCTCTACATCAAACCTGAGGCTCTTTAAGGACCAGAACTGCACACGTGGACAGAGTTGGAAGGTCCGACTACACAGATTGATGAACAGAATCAGTCACTCAAGATAAGACTAGATAAACCTTCCTAAACTAAAATAAAAGACCACTCAATATGCTCTTTTCATGTTCCCCAGGTCAGAGCCAGGGTTGATACATCACAATAACGGTAAGAATATAGACTATTGACATGTGCGCCGGTCAAACACAGGCAGCAGACTTTGAGAGACTTTGACAGAGTAAAGGATACTGCAGTCCAGAGACCCAGGAGGAGGTGCGGTGAGTGCCCAGCTGCTGGCCGCTCTCAGAACAGTGCCACGTGAAGCTCTTGTCCTGCCCCGAGCTCAGCAGCCACTCCATCTCCAGCACAAACAGCACCACAGACACCTTCCTCTGGTGGGCTGAGGGGTAAAGAAGAAGAGGAACACATTTAGGGGCTGTCACACTCTCTCTCTCTCTCTCTCTCACCCCCTCCTCTCACTCTCACCCCCTCCTCTCTCTCTCACCCCCTCCTCTCTCTCACCCCCTCCTCTCTCTCTCACCCCCTCCTCTCTCTCTCACCCCCTCCTCTCACTCTCACCCCCTCCTCTCACTCTCTCACCCCCTCCTCTCTCTCTCACCCCCTCTCTCTCTCTCACCCCCTCCTCTCTCTCTCACCCCTCCTCTCTCTCTCACCCCCCCTCTCTATCTCACCTGCTCCTCTCTCACCCCCTCCTCTCTCTCTCACCCTGGTAGGTGTTGCTGGGGGTCATCTTGTTGTAATCCTCAGACAGGATGAACTCCTGGAACAAAGACAGGAAAACTTGAATTCAGCCCAAATATGTCCACTTCAAACAAAAAACATGACATTTATCAACATTCATGGACAATGGTCTCTCCCTATGGTCCAATACCATGTGTTCTCTCCCTATGGTCCAATACCATGTATTCTCTCCCTATGGTCCAATACCATGTGTTCTCTCCCTATGGTCCAATACCATGTGTTCTCTCCCTATGGTCCATTACCATGTGTTCTCTCCCTATGGTCCAATACCATGTGTTCTCTCCCTATGGTTCAATACCATGTGTTCTCTCCCTATGGTCCAATACCATGTGTTCTCTCCCTATGGACCAATACCATGTGTTCTATATTTTTTGTGTCTTAAATTTTGATTCTCTGTGTTGGTGATTTCAATGGTTTTGTAAAGTCTCTGGGATGAAGCTGTTGTGATTTAGGGAAATACAAGAATTAAGTGAATTGAACACAAAGACCTCTGCAGCATCAGGACCAAACAAGGGCTGAATCTGCCTGAGTTCGTAAGACTTGTTCGAATCAACCATGGTCTCTCTCTGGTCTCTCTCTGGTCTCTCTCTGGTCTCTCTCTGGTCTCTCTCTGGTCTCTCTCTGGTCTCTCTCTGGTCTCTCTCTGGTCTCTCTCTGGTCTCTCTCTGGTCTCTCTCTGGTCTCTCTCTGGTCTCTCTCTGGTCTCTCTCTGGTCTCTCTCTGGTCTCTCTCTGGTCTCTCTCTGGTCTCCCTCTGGTTAGCTGGTTCGATAGTTAGATGGTGCACTTGTTTAACTCAGAGAAGGAAATGAATATTGTCCCTGTTTCTGTAATGGAATCATAAAACTGACTAAATATATTTTTTCACTCCGTCTCGTTCATAAATCCAAAAAGATACTTACACAGATGCTGCCGGTGTCGAGGCCGATAGACAACCTCCGCGTCTCTGGGTTGAAGGACATACAAGAGCACGAGGCTGGAAACAACACAGAACATGAACAAACGTCTGAGAAATTCTCACAAAATGTTTTGTTTTTCACAGTAATTTATAATGTTTTATTAAAGTTTTGTTTTAGTTTGTTTTGAATAAAACAGAAATACAGCAAAAGAGAGTTTGTTGAAAGGCTAATGGTGGCTGAGTGGATAGCACTCTCGCCTCTCAGCAAGAAGGTCCGAATCCCGGTTGTTTTCTGAGTGGAGTTTGCATGTTCTCCCCGTGTCTGCGTAGGTTTCCTCAGGGTGCTCCGGTTTCCCCTACCACTAAAAATATGTACAATAGGTCTGGCATGTGCCTCCTGTACTGGCGACCTCACTCCCAAAAAATCACAATTGTAAACTGCTTTGAGACTACTTACTACTATGCTAAAGGCTAAATGCTAACTGCTATAAGTAAACAGTTGCTATGGTAACTAGCTCTGTACTAGTGCTAGAAACAGAAAAAGTCACAAAGTTCTGAAGAGCAAACATGTGTGTTCTGCCCCAGTGTCAGTCACTAAAGTGTTTCATTTATTATAAAAGCAAAAACAATGTTCAAAATAATCAGCAGTAGTTTACCAAGTTTTGGTTCAGCCCACTCGGGGTTGCCATGCATCGGTTGCTATGCATCGGTTGCTATGCATCGGTTGCTATGCATCGGTTGCTATGCATCGGTTGCTATGCATCGGTTACTATGCAGCAGAAGTAACTCAGGTATAAACATGTAAGTTTTCAGTTTGTTGAAGTTAAAACTCTTGTGTCCCATTTCTGATCTGCAGCTACGACAGCAACGACTGAGTTTTATAAGTGTTTAGTGTTTCATGTTTGTGGTTTTAACACCAGCACTAACTCGTTTAGCAGCAATCGTAGAATATGTCATTTTATAGAGCTAAGCTAATGTACTCTATTTCTGTAATTTTTGTAAGCTGCAAGACGTCAGTTTCCTGCTCGTGAAGACGGAGGCTGTTCATCTACGTCAGGGCTCTCCAACCTGTAGCTCGCCACCCCCTTCCAGGTCGCTCGCCAAAGGATTGAGAAATTAGCAATTCAAATAATTTACTTAATATTTCAGATTTTATTATTCATAATCATTATTTATTATTGTAAATGCACTTTGTCACTAAAATATGTGATGATAAATAACGACTGTATCCAATATCAGGCTCGTTCACACCAATCACCACATTTTTCCCAGGGCCGTTTAAAGTCGTAGCTCTCTGCCTTTATCATCCCATATCAGTACAGTGCATGAGCTGACCAATTACACTTCTGACACTACAAAGCCGTCAAATTGACTGCTCTGGGAGTCCTGGTGTTAAATGACGAGAGACACCAGAGAGACACCAGAGAGAGAGACCAGAGAGACACCAGAGAGACACCAGAGAGACACCAGAGAGAGAGACCAGAGAGACACCAGAGAGACACCAGAGAGACACCAGAGAGACACCAGAGAGACACCAGACGAGAGAGCAGCAGAGTCTGAGAGCTGCTGTTTCTGCTGAAGCTGCAGATGTCAGAAAGAGGAACATCACAGCAGCCGAGGCCGGAATAATCTCAAAGAGGAACAAAGAGTCTCTCTCTCAGTGTGTCTGTCTGTGGGAGTCTCTCTCTCAGTGTGTCTGTCTGTGGGAGTCTCTCTCTCAGTGTGTCTGTCTGTGGGAGTCTCTCTCTCAGTGTGTCTGTCTGTGGGAGTCTCTCTCTCAGTGTGTGTCTGTCTGTGGGAGTCTCTCTCTCAGTGTGTCTGTCTGTGGGAGTCTCTCTCTCAGTGTGTCTGTCTGTGGGAGTCTCTCTCTCAGTGTGTCTGTCTGTGGGAGTCTCTCTCTCAGTGTGTGTCTGTCTGTGGGAGTCTCTCTCTCAGTGTGTCTGTCTGTGGGAGTCTCTCTCTCAGGGTGTCCTCTCTCTAGGGTGTGGGGAGTCTCTCTCTCAGTGTGTCCGTCTGTGGGAGTCTCTCTCTCAGTGTGTCTGTCTGTGGGAGTCTCTCTCTCAGTGTGGTCTGTCTGTGGGAGTCTCTCTCTCAGTGTGTCTGTCTGTGGGAGTCTCTCTCTCAGTGTGTGTCTGTCTGTGGGAGTCTCTCTCTCAGTGTGTCTGTCTGTGGGAGTCTCTCTCTCAGTGTGTGTCTGTCTGTGGGAGTCTCTCTCTCAGTGTGTCTGTCTGTGGGAGTCTCTCTCTCAGGGTGTCCGTCTGTGGGAGTCTCTCTCTCAGTGTGTCCGTCTGTGGGAGTCTCTCTCTCAGTGTGTCTGTCTGTGGGAGTCTCTCTCTCAGTGTGTCTGTCTGTGGGAGTCTCTCTCTCAGTGTGTCCGTCTGTGGGAGTCTCTCTCTCAGTGTGTCTGTCTATGGGAGTCTCTCTCTCAGTGTGTCTGTCTGTGGGAGTCTATCTCTCAGTGTGTCCGTCTGTGGGAGTCTCTCTCTCAGTGTGTCTGTCTGTGGGAGTCTCTCTCTCAGTGTGTCCGTCTGTGGGAGTCTCTCTCTCAGTGTGTCCGTCTGTGGGAGTCTCTCTCTCAGTGTGTCTGTCTGTGGGAGTCTCTCTCTCAGTGTGTGTCTGTCTGTGGGAGTCTCTCTCTCAGTGTGTGTCTGTCTGTGGGAGTCTCTCTCTCAGTGTGTCTGTCTGTGGGAGTCTCTCTCTCAGTGTGTCCGTCTGTGGGAGTCTCTCTCTCAGTGTGTCCGTCTGTGGGAGTCTCTCTCTCAGTGTGTGTCTGTCTGTGGGAGTCTCTCTCTCAGTGTGTGTCTGTCTGTGGGAGTCTCTCTCTCAGTGTGTCTGTCTGTGGGAGTCTCTCTCTCAATGTGTCTGTCTGTGGGAGTCTCTCTCTCAGTGTGTCCCGCCGGGGTTTCTAGCTTTTCTATTGGAGAGGTTTCTCTGATGCAGGAGGGTCTAAGGACTGTGAGGATCCAGGACTTTTACCACAAACACTTAGGTTTATGAAGTTATCTCAGCTTCGGGCAAGTGCTAGTTACCATAGCAACACAATGATTTTCATTTATATCAGACAGACATAGACACACAGAGAGACAGACAGACAGAAGGACGGACAGACGCAGACGCACACACACACACCCACACACGCACACACACACACAGAGACACACCCTGGTGGACACATCACCCCTCAGTGTGTGTGAGTACTTACAGGGCAGGGTGTGGTAAACACTGGGCCAGTACTGACCACTGTCCCGCTTCATCCAAACTCGAATCGTCCTGTAGGAAAAACATGTGACATCACCTCACATAAAACTATTATATCATAACTATGATCAAATCTGTTAGCAACCTCAGTTTCATGGTCCCAGTCCAGGACCCCATCCGTTATTCCAACCCCAAATGCACCACTACGTTAATATTATTCAGTTTATTTTAGACTAAAAACATGAGAAATAATGTAAAATCTCTCTTTGTTCCTCATTCAAACACACAGGCAGAGTTTGATTGACAGATTCCACATTTACATAATGGAGAGAGAGGTTCTGGTTCTTCAATCCTCCACTTTCCCATCAAGAATATCAGCTCAATATTTTATTTTGAATGACTGACTGCACCTAATCCAAATCCTTTTTATACAAAGGCAGTTTATTCAGCTAACCAGAGGGAGACCATGATTTTAGACCAATGCGATCAGTTGTTTTTGTTGCTTGTTGTGTTCTCAGTGTGGTGTGAATAAAGTTGGGTCAGATTGAAGGATTGTACAAAGCTTAAACTTTAACCAGGACGTTTCTGTGATTCTGCAGTTTCTGGAGAGAACGATGCAAATGACCTGATCCCGGAACAAACGCCTCGGTGTCCATTTACAGTTTTGGATGTGACACAATAGTATTTACACATTTCCTGTGACGCATAAAACCCCAAATACATTGTTTTTAAGAATCATTTCAGTTCAATGTATGTTTGAAGAGCTTTAAATCACAACCGCTGTCTCACATTTTTATTCGCGAGATATTGTTACCAGTGAGAACCTCTCCACCGACTCCCACTGATGTCTGCTGTCGTTGTGTCCTTGGGCAAGACACTTAACCCACTTTGCCTACAAGGGGCGCGGTAGTAAACATGAACAGGCTCCGCAGTTGTTGTTGTTGTACAGTCTGACAGCAGCAGGAAGGACAGTTGTATCGCTGCAGAAATGTCCTGGTTTCTGGTTCAGAAACAAGCCACAGCGGCGTCACTGCAGCAGCTGATACAACCACATCCATCGCCTCCACGTTAGTTTAACCACTGTATTCAGACTGGCAATGCTAATCTGCTAGCTCGGTGAAGCCCACAATAGAGAAGTGTTCAAGGAAGAAGTTTTGCTCCAACTCACTCTGGCTCCTAATGACTTAGGGACTGTCTGAAGATAATGTAGTCGGGAAAATTAACTCCCATATAAGGAAATTAGCTCCTTCCGCATAAAGGCTAACACTGTGGTGACATCACACGCAGGAGGGTCTAAGGTCAGTGATGATCTGCTCCTTATGGACTCAGTTTTTGTAATGGCTTTGAATAATATGAGGGACATGAATCGGTATGTCGCAGAATCGGTATCGCAGAATCGGTATATTGCAGAATCGGTATCGCAGAATCGGTATATTGCAGAATCGGTATTGCAGAATCGGTATATTGCAGAATCGGTATATCGCAGAATTGGTATACTGCAGAATCGGTATATCGCAGAATCGGTATTGCAGAATTGGTATACTGCAGAATCGGTATTGCAGAATCGGTATATCGCAGAATCGGTATATTGCAGAATCGGTATATCGCAGAATTGGTATCGCAGAATCGGTATATCGCAGAATTGGTATACTGCAGAATCGGTATATCGCAGAATTGGTATCGCAGAATCGGTATCGCAGAATCGGTATATCGCAGAATCGGTATCGCAGAATCGGTATATTGCAGAATCGGTATCGCAGAATCGGTATACCGCAGAATCGGTATATCGCAGAATCGGTATCGCAGAATCGGTATCGCAGAATCGGTATCGCAGAATCGGTATATCGCAGAATCGGTATCGCAGAATCGGTATATCGCAGAATCGGTATCGCAGAATGCGGGTATATCGCAGAATCGGTATCGCAGAGAATCGGTATATTGCAGAATCGGTATCGCAGAATCGGTATATCGCAGAATCGGTATACTGCAGAATCGGTATATATCGCAGAATCGGTATATCGCAGAATCGGTATCGCAGAATCGGTATCGCAGAATCGGTATCGCAGAATCGGTATATCGCAGAATCGGTATTGCAGAATCGGTATCGCAGAATCGGTATATCGCAGAATCGGTATCGCAGAATCGGTATATCGCAGAATCGGTATCGCAGAATCGGTATCGCAGAATCGGTATATCGCAGAATCGGTATTGCAGAATTGGTATATTGCAGAATCGGTATCGCAGAATCGGTATCGCAGAATCGGTATACTGCAGAATCGGTATATCGCAGAATCGGTATCGCAGAATCGGTATCGCAGAATCAGTATATCGCAGAATCGGTATATCGCAGAATCGGTATCGCAGAATCGGTATATCACAGAATCGGTATACTGCAGAATCGGTATATCGCAGAATCGGTATATCGCAGAATCGGTATATCGCAGAATCGGTATCGCAGAATCGGTATATCGCAGAATCGGTATATCGCAGAATCGGTATATCGCAGAATCGGTATACTGCAGAATCGGGAGGGTTTCCTCCAGAGGGGGGGATGGGGGGGGATCAGTCCCCCCCTAGCCATGGCCCTAGGGGGGATATCCCCCCCTCAATTTTCTTACACATGCATGTATACAATTCTCACATCAAAAAGTGCAATAACATTATTTTCATTGGGATACATCTGATCTGGCTCACTGTCTAATCTATAATCTAAAACATGATGATGGTAAAAAATTACATAAAAACACCAAATCAGAAACTTCCGTACAAGAAAAATGTGTTATTCTTTATTCTGAATCGGAGTCTCCTCAGATGAATAGCGGTTCTCTTTTCGCGGTCTTGCAGATTTATTTTTATCGTGATTTTCACTGTATGTGAACTTGGTGTGTTCATCCTGATTGGCTAAGGAAGAACCAGTGTATTGTGTTCTGCGTCCTGATTGGCTAAGGAAGAACCAGTGTATTGTGTTCTGCGTCCTGATTGGCTAAGGAAGAACCAGTGTATTGTGTTCTGCGTCCTGATTGGCTAAGGGGTAATCTCTGTGCAGTGTTTCCTGTATCACAGCATTCAGCCTGACAAATGTAAATCCATGTCTGATTGCAGTGTGACAGTAAGTGCTGTATGCTAATTTTCTCCTTGACAAAACCGTGGACTAAACCCACAACATGGTTAGTGCTAAAAGTTGAACTTCTGGACATGTTGCAACGACGACAGCAAAGAGGAGCACGGTGCGGAGCCCAGGCCATTGGCGAGGGACTTTCATGCAGCACTAAGCCCATTTCTTTCAACAATTTTTACAATTTTGATTTCAAGATTTCAAAAGGCTATAACTTTAAAGTAGTTTGAGATGAAGGCATATTGTAAATGAGAACTATCTTCAGTATGAACCAAACTTTGGGATGGAAGTTGATTCGTCATCTAATTTGCATATTGTGACGTCATCAAGGTGGTGGCCATTTTGGAAAATGTTAATTATAGTATAAAGATTTCAAAAATCTGTAGTTTGAGAGTGTATTTTGAGATCAGGGAATACCATCAACAGTCTACGTGAAATATCTTTAGTATGAAAACACAATGTGGGATAGAAATAAATTCACTGATCAAATGTATATAGAATATTTTAGCACTGGTCCACGGCCATATGGAACTTTATATGCATTAGACCTTCAATGATCAAGATGGCACTGCTTATAGTTTACCAGTCATGAAATCTGCACTTTGGTTTCAATATTACCCTTTCAAAAGACCTGTGGGCATACAGTTTGTCTCAGTGGAAATGAGGCTCCAGAATTCATTGTTTAGAAACAGAGCGATTAAATGAATGGGCTCAGAACTTGTCAGATTGTCTCAACAATAAACGACAGGCTCTTCAAAATTTCTGATCTACTTTTATGGATTCTCTTCTCTAAAGAACTGCCTTCATCATCTCCGTCCGTAAAGGCAGATTAGTGGTGTGTTTTCTTCCGTGGCTTCTGCCACGTCTCCCGCGTTCCCCGCGGTTGTTTAACCCCGCTGCATTCACCCATATGCCCGGTGTTATGACCCCCCTGTCCCCTTCACCACGTACCCTGTCTGGTGTTCGCAGAATGTTTCCACTGTGGCCGCACACCGCGGTAAAGAGGTCCGGCTTTTTGGAGTCAGCGGTAAAGAGGTCCGCACATTAAAAGCGGGTGGCCGCTTTATGTTAAACAGTGCATTGTGACGGCGCATCCCCGCGGCTTCTCTTTCCAATGTTGCTGTAATTAACAGCATAAAGAGGCTATCCGCTTTTAATGTGCGGACCGCTTTACCGCTGACTCCGAAAAGCCGGACCTCTTTACCACGGGGCCACACGGAGGACGTAAACTGTGGGTGACTGTGGACTATTGTGGCGCGGACTCCTGTCACTAATAATGTCTGTGTCTGCTTCACTGGAGACCTGCGTGTCTCTGAATCTGAGTGAGCCAGTACCAAATACTTCTCTGATCTCTGGAGACCTCTGGCTCTGCTCTGGCTCCGCTCAGAACTACGGCTCCTGCTTCGCGTTGCTGCGCCGCAGGTGTTTTACAAACTCATTTTACTCTAATACTTTGAATACAACCATTCCCACAAAGGCCGCTCATATTAAAGGCACACATGTCCACTAACTCCTCGTGAAAAGTATTAAGTAAAATTACTGCAATAAACGTGTGTGATTATTTTTATTTTTTTCTGGGGCATTGGACCTCGAACCCCCAAACCCTCAAATCTGTATATTGCAGAATCGGTATATCACAGAATCGGAATATCACAGAATCGGAATATCGCAGAATCGGTATATCACAGAATCGGAATATCGCAGAATCGGTATCGCAGAATCGGTATCGCAGAATCGGTATATCGCAGAATCGGTATATCGCAGAATCGGATCGCAACACTTGCTGTATAGCAGTATGTTAAGAATTGTAATAACATAGAATTGAGTGTGTATTGAATTGTAGCCCAAATATCGCAATACTATCAAATTGCCACATTTTTACCAATTCCCACCTCTAGTAACCGAAAACTGATCCAACACCTTTTCAAACATGGATTAATCAATTATCAAAAACAAAATAAATATTGGTAAATTCTACGTGCTGTTTAATCAAAAAATATTTAGATGGAGGTTTTAGACTTACTTCCTTATCAGGCTAAAGCTAGAGGTTTTCTACTTACTTACTTACTTAAAATAATACTTATGCTATTATTTTTAATTAAGATGTTATTTTAATTTAGTATAGATTTATTGTTCATTTATCTTGAGCTGTGTGCTGGTCATTCTGTAACTGGTAATGCAACACTGACATTTCCCCACTGTGGGACGAGTACAGGACCTTCATCTCCTGTTTACTACAAAACATATGTTCTCATATGTCCACTGTGCGCACATACAAGGCACATACGAGGCACATACGAGGCACATACAAGGCACATACAAGGCACATACGAGGCACATACAAGGCACCTGTCTTGGCATAACTCTTATACTAGAATATCATATTATAATTATATTTTCTCTATTTCTCTTGTTGTAAAACTGCAATAATTGAGCTACTGTGTTCCGCAGGATCCGCTTATCTCAGTAATGTGGGCGAAATATGCAGCGATTCAGCAAAACACTGCAGAACAAGCTAATATTTAACCAGAAGTCGCGTTTACGCAAGACACGTTCTCCAATGGACTGTAGCAGACGCAGATCCAGGCTGTGCGGATCCAGGCTGTGCAGATAGATCCAGGCTGTGCAGATCCAGACTGTGCGGATCCAGGCTGTGCGGATCCAGACTGTGCGGATCAGACTGTGCGGATCCAGACTGTGCGGATCCAGGCTGTGCGGATCCAGACTGTGCGGATCCAGGCTCTGCGGATCCAGGCTGTGCAGATCCAGGCTGTGCGGATCCAGACAGTACAGATCCAGACTGTGCGGATCCAGACTGTGCAGATCCAGACTGTGCAGATCCAGGCTGTGCTGATCCAGGCTGTGCTGATCCAGGCTGTACAGATCCAGGCTGTGCAGATCCAGACTGTACAGATCCAGGCTGTGCAGTGGAAAAAGGCTTAAATGTGTTGCTAATGCTACAGCGGAGGTACCTGTCATCGGACACGCTGATAACCCCGTCCTCTTTGGGGATGATGACCGCGGCGCTGACCACGTCCTGGAAAGCCTCAATGGAGCTCTGCAGACACGGCCTCCGGTCCCGCGCCTCCCCTCGGGTCTCTGCGGCCATGGGTGCCCTCCGCGGCGAGGAACAGCCAGTGTGTGTGCCGCTGTCAGGAGCTCCGTAGGCGGGCGGTGGAGGTGGAGCGAGAGCAGGGGGGAGAGGCGCAGTGTTGTGGCCGAGGAGAGAGCGCTGAGAGGCGGGTCAGCTGACTGCCACACACCGCTGAGTGGTTGCTGATAAACGCTAGAGGAAGAGGTGGGGCTGTTGCCATGGTGATTGCGGTGGTCGGCCATCTTGGGAGTGTAAGTTTCCCAAACAAAATGAGATAGATAGATAGATACATAGATACATAGATAGATAGATAGATAGAAAGATAGATAGATAGATAGATAGATAGATAGATAGATACATAGATAGATAGAAAGATAGATAGATCCTTCCTTACTCTTTAAAATTGTGAGTTTTTTGACAGTTTGGAGATGAAAAATATAACAATGTTTTTAATACCACTTGAAATGTAATGTCTTTGTACAGAAGAAGGAAGAACCAGGAAGGATAAAGAAGTGGGTATTTGTTTAACTGTTTGATTTGTTTAACTGTTTGATTCTCAGATCTGTGTTGGCAAATACAAAACTTTGTGAAGTCCTCCGAGATAATTACTGCTGGGATTTAGAGCTAAACAAAAATAAAAGGAATTGAATTTATTTGGATGCAGCCAGTTGCCCACATGACTGTTTTCCCTTTTGAAATTTGAAACCATTTTATAAAACAAAGCTTTCTAGATTTTTTTATCAAAGTTGTAAACGTATCACAGTCTGCTCATGAAAGAATGGACACTGTTGCTTTAAATGATTTATCTTTATTTATATTTGTCTCCATTTGTGGATGACAGAACAGGGGTATAAGACAGAACACAGGTATATAACAGTTATTGTAAAAGTATTTAAGAGACGTGTTCGCTTTTGTTGCTTAGTATGAGTTTGAGTATTTACTTATGTACTTATTTACTTACATTACAGCATTATATTAATTACAACAGAACTAAGTACAAATACACGGTAAATACATACACCAACATTTATACTTGTACTCAAACTGTGGAAGGATTGTGTTTTTATAAGTATAATTGATAATATTCTGGATGTTTTTTTTAATTTGAGTTTATTTGGGTTTTGAGCATGACTGTCTATATTTACAGTTTTGAGTAGAATCTTACAGTCAAAAGATGGCGACCGTGTGACCAACGTGTTACAGGAGAGAGCTGTCAGAATAAAACACTTCCTTTTTATCACAAATGTGGATTAAGGAGAATCATGAACATTCTTCACCGTCCTGTTTGTTTCATTGATCCATAAAACTATCTTTCATGCGAGTTTGTGGAAGTTTGAACACATTTGGAAACGTACATTTTTACCAGATCTTTTCAAAATAAAGGTGTAAATATCCACTCGTGTCTATTTCACAATAAAATCAGACGTGTTTCTTTATCATGTGTTAATGACTTGTGGAATGTTGTTGATTTTATTTTTGATTTATTAGTGCTAATCTATTGTATTTATATATGTATAATTGGTATTTCATTGTTTTATTTGAATCATATCTTATTATTATTATTATCTGTCTTTTTTATCTCCATAACGCAGAATTGTGTATTTAAGTGTGTCACGTTTATCTCTGTGCAGCACTTTCCAAACTTGTTTTGTAAATGATCTATAAAAATAAGACGGATTGGATTCTTTGTTTATTTGGATGGGACAGTCTGCACACACCAGAACTATTGTACGTATTTTCAGTGGTAGGGGAAACCGTAGCCCCCGGAGGATTCCTACGCAGTTCACTTGTAAGCTCTGTGACACTGTGAGGACTTGTGTATCTGCTTCTGAAGTGAACCCATGAGTGTAAACACCACCACAATATTGTAAAAATATAAATATTACAATGTTTTACTTTACCCAGGCAAACCAGCAGGTGGCGCACCTTTAAGACAAGATAAGAAAACGTTATACTCGTCCCGCAGTTGGATGTTCTGATGTTACAGCGCACAGACAGGACAGAAGCACACAGGGATCTGCAATGCTTCTTAACTAGCTGTAAATGCTTCATCAGGTCACAGCAGCAGAGGTGGTGTAACCTTGGATGGAGCAGGACTGGTCACAGCGGCGGAGGTGGTGTAGCCGCTGGGTGGAGCAGGACTGGTCACAGCAGCAGAGGTGGTGTAGCCTCGGGTGGAGCAGGACTGGTCACAGCAGCAGAGGTGGTGTAGCCGCTGGGTGGAGCAGGACAGGTCACAGCAGCAGAGGTGGTGTAGCCGCTGGGTGGAGCAGGACTGGTCACAGCAGCAGAGGTGGTGTAGCCGCTGGGTGGAGCAGGACGGGTCACAGCAGCAGAGGTGGTGTAGCCTTGGGTGGAGCAGGACTGGTCACAGCAGCAGAGGTGGTGTAGCCTCGGGTGGAACAGGACTGGTCACAGCAGCAGAGGTGGTGTAGCAGCTGGGTGGAGCAGGACTGGTCACAGCAGCAGAGGTGGTGTAGCCTCGGGTGGAGCAGGACTGGTCACAGCAGCAGAGGTGGTGTAGCCGCTGGGTGGAGCAGGACAGGTCACAGCAGCAGAGGTGGTGTAGCCGCTGGGTGGAGCAGGACTGGTCACAGCAGCAGAGGTGGTGTAGCCTCGGGTGGAACAGGACTGGTCACAGCAGCAGAGGTGGTGTAGCAGCTGGGTGGAGCAGGACTGGTCACAGCAGCAGAGGTGGTGTAGCCTCGGGTGGAGCAGGACTGGTCACAGCAGCAGAGGTGGTGTAGCCGCTGGGTGGAGCAGGACAGGTCACAGCAGCAGAGGTGGTGTAGCCGCTGGGTGGAGCAGGACTGGTCACAGCAGCAGAGGTGGTGTAGCCGCTGGGTGGAGCAGGACGGGTCACAGCAGCAGAGGTGGTGTAGCCTTGGGTGGAGCAGGACTGGTCACAGCAGCAGAGGTGGTGTAGCCTCGGGTGGAACAGGACTGGTCACAGGAGCAGAGGTGGTGTAGCAGCTGGGTGGAGCAGGACGGGTCACAGCAGCAGAGGTGGTGTAGCCTCGGGTGGAGCAGGACTGGTCACAGCAGCAGAGGTGGTGTAGCCGCTGGGTGGAGCAGGACGGGTCACAGCAGCAGAGGTGGTGTAGCAGCTGGGTGGAGCAGGACTGGTCACAGCAGCAGAGGTGGTGTAGCAGCTGGGTGGAGCAGGACTGGCCACAGCAGCAGAGGTGGTGTAACCTTGGGTGGAGCAGGACAGGTCACAGCAGCAGAGGTGGTGTAGCCCCTGGGTGAAGCAGGACTGGTCACAGCAGCAGAGGTGGTGTAGCCGCTGGGTGGAGCAGGACGGGTCACAGCAGCAGAGGTGGTGTAGCAGCTGGGTGGAGCAGGACGGGTCACAGCAGCAGAGGTGGTGTAGCCTCGGGTGGAGCAGGACTGGTCACAGCAGCAGAGGTGGTGTAGCCGCTGGGTGGAGCAGGACGGGTCACAGCAGCAGAGGTGGTGTAGCAGCTGGGTGGAGCAGGGCAGGTCACAGCAGCAGAGGTGGTGTAGCAGCTGGGTGGAGCAGGACTGGCCACAGCAGCAGAGGTGGTGTAACCTTGGGTGGAGCAGGACAGGTCACAGCAGCAGAGGTGGTGTAGCCCCTGGGTGAAGCAGGACTGGTCACAGCAGCAGAGGTGGTGTAGCCGCTGGGTGGAGCAGGACTGGTCACAGCAGCAGAGGTGGTGTAGCCGCTGGGTGGAGCAGGACGGGTCACAGCAGCAGAGGTGGTGTAGCCGCTGGGTGGAGCAGGACGGGTCACAGCAGCAGAGGTGGTGTAGCAGCTGGGTGGAGCAGGACGGGTCACAGCAGCAGAGGTGGTGTAGCCTCGGGTGGAGCAGGACTGGTCACAGCAGCAGAGGTGGTGTAGCAGCTGGGTGGAGCAGGACGGGTCACAGCAGCAATACACAGAAGATTATTCACAGAAAATAAAATAAAGCAAAACAAAAATACCCGTGAATGTTTATTTTGTTTTGGTTCTTGGCATTTAAGATACATTTATATATTTTTACTTTAAATGTTTGTGATTCTATCTAGAGATCAATCTCATCTTTCCTGATCTTGCATACTCTGAGTGATCTCATTGAACTTCCATCCATCCATTTTCTTCCCCTTAATCCATTTCTGGTTCGGGGGTGGCAGTCAGAGCACCAGCCCCTCACTGATCCTCCTGCAGGTGCTGAGTCCACAGGAGCAGAGATCTTCCAGCAGGGGCTTCAGGCAAAGTGGGGTTAAGTGTCTTGCCCAAGGACACAACGACAGCTAAAGGTGCATCGCTCATATCTTTTTTATTTCATCTATCTTATTGTAAAAAAGATTGGACAAAGCAAAACGTGTACATGAATCGAATCCCCTCCCACGCGCTACACTGGCTATATTAGTTTTATTGTGAAAATCTGAACATTTTCAAAGGAAGTCGCTGCAGTCTCAGTTCCCTCTTGACGTCTGCTCCAAAAGAAGTCTCTCAAAGAAACATCAGACAAAAGACAGTTCTCCTCTGCCCTGTCAACATCCCCACACGGATCCTCCACATTCTTTTTTTCACGGAAGTCCTCATACTTTCACGGAATAACACCGGACACGGGCCTGCTTTATAGTTTGTTTGGCCCTATGTGCTGTGATGGTTGGAGCAGTGGCACAGCCGTGGGTTTAGGGTTATAGACGCTGTGGATTGTCCCCAGGCCTCGTGTTGTGTGCGCGTCTCCAAAACCCCCAGAGAAGTCCTGACAAGGGCGGGAGAAAGTGTCCTGCAGCGAATACTGAACAAAACCTTTCTTCTCCTCATGGGTCTACCACTAAGGGACAGATTGGCCTATTTACAATAAGTGCCATATGTGCCCAAGTATGCTATATTATAGGATAACAGTGAAATAACCGGGGCCAGAACCACATTAACATAATCAGACAAAAGGCAGACAATATGTGATACATATATTTAGCAAATTAGAGGTTACACAGACCTATTTTTGATATAATCTTCAATAACAATGAAATAACAGGGGTTAGAACCACATGGACAGAATCAGAGGGAAGGTAAATGTTTGTGATGTATATATTAGACGTATGAGAGGTTACACAGACTTAATTCTGATTTATTCTTCAAGGACTGTCTTTCACACAGGAGCCCACGCCCGAGTACACACAAGAACGTTGATTATGTAACCGCTTCCCCCATAAACCCAACCTGCCTACGTGCTATATCAGCTCCTGTGACTGTCTCTGTGCCGTAAACAAAGCGCGTGGCCTGATTTTCGCTGTTTTTGACACTTTATGCGTTAAAGACTATTTTCCTTGCATTCCTCCTGGGCAAGCCGCGCATGCGCATTAGGCTCTGGGCTCTTTCCTTATTTGGATATGGTAATGAAGGGCTTAGAGTGGCCAATCAGCGAGGAGTATGTGTCCACGTGACAGCCAAAGCCCGCTGTGGGGGCGGGGCTTACGCAGGGTCGCGGTATAAAATCGGCGGACAGGCAGCTCGCAGCCAGTGCAGGCAGCGCAGGACACACTGTGGGGGAACTTTGTGACGATGAAACTTAGAAATTATTACAATATAGTGTTAAAATTATCAATATCCCTCGAAAATCAATAACCGGCCCCCAGAGTTTGAGGGTTTTAGCGTAGTTAGCCCGGAGAGCGTCTCCAAACTCACTATTCTGACACTTTTTTGAAAGAATGTGTGAGACAGACAGTTAGCAGCTAGCCGCTAGCTCGCCAGTTGAGAGGTGGTACAGGCGGCATAGGAGAACAAAAGAATTTTTTTGCGTTCTGGCTGGTTGTACTGACACCAAGTCCATGCAGAACGTGTCATACCATCACAATGCCCGTTTTACTTTTTCTGATAGACACGTCCGCGTCAATGAACCAGCGCACTCATCTGGGCACTACCTATCTGGACATAGCAAAAGGCGCTGTTGAGACTTTTATGAAGGTATTGTAACTCGGGTCACTATGTTTGGGGAGCTCCCTGAGGTCTGGGGGTCTTCTCTCAACGCTCATGTGTCCGTAACACTGACGAACAACTCTTGTGTCCACAGCTCAGGGGCAGAGATCCAGCGAGCCGAGGGGACCGGTACATGTTGGTAAATTTTGAAGAGCTTCCATACGGGATTAAGGTAGAGTTCGCTTTCAAGCCTATGCCCAGCGCCTGTGTGTTTGCTAGTCTCCGTCCCAGACCTCCGCCACGTTGTGAAAACCGCATCAATTGTGCAAAGAGAATCTTCAGCAGGAGCTTTCATACCCCTTTTAAAACATGGCCGACATTTTGTTTCAATGTGCAGCAAGGAACTCTGGGTGTTATTTATACAGCGAGGTGATATGGGGGGCGGGCTGGGGTGACAGACTAGCCTACTTTATTTTGTTTGAACTTCAATTTCCACTCTATTATCGGGACACACTTGACACTTATAATCAATAAGCCCTATATTTATGACTACTGGTCTGTGAAATGCCATATTTAGTCATAGAGGTTAGTAAAAGCAGTGGGTTGGAACTTACTCTATATTATATATTTCTATATGCTTTGCTATTTAAGATCAGGGATAGTTATTATCACTTTATTTGCTGTTAATTATCCAATTTAACAGATCTAATACAAACTGAAAACAAGGCAAAGATAGTCACAACTGATTTGTTTACATGTCAGTTGCACCAAGAAAAGTATGTGCTGAAGCAAAAACACGTTTACAAATAAGAACGTGTGAGTTTAAAGTCGTAAAGGGAGTTTTGATGGGTTTTTCTGAGCAGAAGTGCAGAGGCAAAGTTCTTATATACTTGCAACTCATGTGTAAACAGTACCAGGAACAAGGACGTGAGATCTATGCCTATTAAACGGTTATTGCCACACAGTTGCAGAATTACAGTCCAAGTGATAAAGTAGGACACTATACATTCATTGCAAGATATTCTACAGCTTCACCCCGAAAAGATTATTTATTATTAGCGGTAACTACTTGTATGAGAGATGTGACATTGTTTTATGACCGGTTTGAAATGGGATCACATGGGTAACAGCAGGGAATAATTTGAGGTCCAGCAAGGTTTACATTTTTGTCTTTTTCTACATTATACTAAGAAAAGTCCATTCAAAAACAAACCAGAGGAAGACCCTGGACACGCTGGAGGGACGGTGTCTCTCCAGGGAAGACTGCATGTACAGGGAATTCTGGGCATCTCTGCTTTGAATGCAGTTCTCCTGACCCGGCTCCAGATAAAGCGGAAGAAACTAGATGGACTAACGCATAAGGAAATGTCATTACACTCTGTATATTGTCACATGCTTCACTCCAGCTCTATGTATCGCAGAATTATGTCTACAAAGGCTTTCAATGCATATAATTGTATTTTTAGGCCGGATGGAAGGAAAGCCACGCCACTTTTATGACAGAGTTGAGAAACCTGCAGGCAAACGGACTCACGAGTATCGGCCATTCCCTGAGGACGTCTTTTGATTTGCTCAATCTCAATAGATTAGTGACTGGAATAGACAACTATGGGCAGGTACGTAGCGCTGACACAAAGACCAAAGCCTAATAATAACAATGACGATGTGTGTGTGTGCTATAAATGTGCTGTCGATAAAGTACACCCCCCCCCCCCCCCCGCCATCATATGAACTCAAAGGTCCCCCAAACATCCCACCTCCACTGTCCAAGCACCGCCCGCACACTGTGGTCCACATGCAACACACAAAAAGCATAACCACCACAGAAACATAAACACAGTGGGAACACCATCAGTGTTAAAACAGCAGCAGAGGAAATGGAAGGTGTGATAAAATAAATCAAAGATGGAACAATGAGGTTTTGTTCTTGGGGCATCTAGCAGTAAATAAGACCTACCTTAATCTTGAGACACTATAATTTAAGTAAAACAATACAGAAGAGGTTAGAATGAATAGATATAGGAAATTAAGCTTTGCCCTGCCTCTGTCAATGGCCAAGTGTAAATTGTCAAGTATTTTAAAAAAAATCCTTTAAAAGTAGATACAATGCTAAGTTATTAAATAATCTAAACTTGTATCAAATATGGCAGAAGTTAAGAGTAGGAACCACTTAAAATATGAACCCTTGTTCCTTTATTGTGAGTTAGGGTTTTGTTACCTGCAAATACAGGGCTGTAAAATCAGAGAAATGCACTGACTGAATAAGAAGTGCTTGTATTTGTATAAACCAGTGAGGGAAAGTTTCAGTCACCTCCTCATTAACAGAGGAGCAGTTGTAAAGTCTGATTGTGTTCAGTGTTCCTGCTCTAAAGTGAATTCAGCTAATTCAGCTAAAAGTTCCCTAAACAGTGTTAAAATTATAATGATAATAATACATTGGTTATTCTTTCACTCCATACACGGTGGTGATAAACTTGGTAGCCACAGCTGCCCTGGGGCACACTGACATCCAGTTTGTGCCATTAGCCCCTTCCACCACCAACACACACACACACACACCCCAGACTCATTCTAATGTGGGGGAAGTGTCTTGCCTAAGGACACGACCACAGTTTGGCACTTTACAGCCGCAGCCGCCCCACTGTGGCTCCTGATGTTTCCAGAGGTCTCCCATCACAGTACTTACCAGGCCCGGCCCTGCTTAAAGTGGTTCTCACCCCCGCTCCTCGGAGCTTACGTTACTCACATTTCCTGTTCAAATCTTCCTCTAAATGGGCGTAGCCTGGAGGACTAAAGGGGGCGTGAACGAGACTGGGCCGTTTACATTGCTCTGGGCGGGGGGCTGCTGACGTCAGGTCCAACTTGCAGAGGTCAGGTCCAACTTCTGTGCCAGTGTTGGCGCCAGATTCAAAATTCAAATGTAGTAATACAGGTCGCCAGCAGATGGCGCCTCACAGACGGTTTAAGGCAGAAAGTCTAACTTTCAACTAATTTGCACCAAAGTGACAAGATTATGACCAGGATATGTAGACAACACTATTGGACACTCATTTATACCGTTTATCAGCAAAAAAAAGTGGATTTGAGGGTGAGTTGTCCTTTAAGCTTCAAAGGTCTGACAGGATCTGGTTTTCGCCTACAGCTCGAGCCACACATGAGTTATATACTAAAGTTCAGGGAAATAAACCGGCTGCTGTTTTTGCACCGCCCAAAATAGCTGATTTGCCGTTTGCAGATTAGAAACTCAATTATATTATCATTCTCTTCAATTCATTTTTTTATCGCCCTAAATCACAACAGCATTGTCTCGGAGGACAAGACAACATTCGCAAACAACAGATTAGAGAATCAAACGGTACAATAATAACAAACACATAGCAGCCATTGGTGCAAAGACCTTTGTTTACCAGGTTATTATGGTACGTCCCCCTTCCTCGGACCCTCCCACTTCCGGAAAAACTCTTGCATATAAAACCGTTAATGAAGAAGTCTGTAGTATCTCCATTTATCTCTAGTTTACAAACTGTACGATAAACACATCAAGGGTCAGGACCCGCCGACGATAACCTGTTTCTACACCAGACTCATTTGAATAAAGTCAATGTAGGGTGTTACAAGTGACCCTCTAGGCTAGACCGGTCCGAACTAAGCCTCGCTAACCTCAGGCTAGACCCTGCTAACCTCAGGCCTCGCTAACCCCAGACGAGGCCTCGTAAGCCTCGCTAACCTCAGACGAGGCCTCGCTAACTTAAAGCAGTCTTAGAGATAGTGCATCACAGTGTCATCTAGCCAACTTCAGCTTTCCCAATTTAGAGATGTTGTACCTTGTAAATCAGGAAGTCACAAACTTGGAACTTGCTCTGGCTCAAGTTGCAAACAAGTTGTAAGAGTAAAAATAGGTGGAACTAGATACAATAGTCCAGTGTCTCCCAAAGTGGGGTCCGCGGCCCCCTGGTGGGCCGCGAGGGTACTGCAGGGGGGCCGCGGGAGGTCATAAAAAAAATAATAAAATAATATAATTATTTAATGTTAAATTTATAATGTTTTGTTTGTAATATTAAAATATTTGTGTTCATTATTTGACTTGAATAATCCACTGTAATCATTTTTGTATTACAATGTTTGTAGCAGAGGCTATTTCCCCAAAATAAAATAACCAGAAGAGCCTATTCTTAATGTTGTCTTCTTGGTTATTATTTTGGGGGGCCACGCAGACCCGTCAGATTTTTAAGGGGGCCTCGGTGTTACTGAGTTTGGGAATGGCTGCAATAGTCATTTAACAGTCCTGAGGGGTCAGTAAGGCTCAGAACCGTTGAATTTATTTGTATTTGTTGACACTAGTTTTCAGTCTATGGCCTGGTGTCAGTCTTAGCTGGTGAGATGGTTAGCATTTGTCATCTGTGCGTCTGTGTGTTTCTGTTTGTCTGTGTGTGTGTGTTTTGAGACGGGGCAAGTTGATTGTGGTTACTGGTGACACCTACAGGAGCACGTTGGTACTGCAGTCTTGTCTTTCTCATGATTGGACTGCAGATGGCGCTGTGGTTTAGTTCCCTTCAGAGACTGTTTGATGGGCCCACACAGTATACATTCTTGTGCATAATCATTGTTTAAATATTTTTCAATAATTATCTTTAAAAGCTCTATGGTCATACAGTAAACCCTCCCAGGCAGACATGTTTTAACCTTTTTTGTCATTTATTTTGGCGATTATCCAACAACAAATCCTGTTATTTTCCGCCCATTGTTAGTGATTGTTTGAAGTGCTTTATTGTCTAAAACTACATATTTTCTATTTTCTAATTTTATAACATAATTTAGCCTCTTTGGGGAGATCTCCAACATTAATTCACAGGAACCGGAGGCTTCTTTCCGCAAGAATGTGTGATCAGAGAGGATAGAAAACCTCAGACTCCCAGCTGTCATAGAAGCTAGAGGAGCCGTACACACTGTCAAATATATTAGCTGTAGTGGTGTAACCGAGCCCTTACCCTTGGTCAGGGAGTGGAACTGAGTTGGTTGGAGATTATGGGTCAATATGGAGAGAGGTCAGGAAGAAGTGGAGAATTGGTTGTTCTAATAAAAATGGCAATAATACATTTCCAGGAAACCTCAAAGTGCCACACATTAAAATACAGTACAACAAAGAAAAACATCAGTACATAAAATAAGCTCCAGAGTTTTCATTTTAGTTCTCTTACTTCCTCCCTTTATTAGTAAGTAAGTAATATTTAAACCGCCTTTCACAGACCAGAGTCACAAAGCGGTTTACAATTGTTATTACTATTATTTTTTTGGGCATTTGTTCTCTCACTCCACCCAGGAGGCAGTGTTTTTAGTGGTAGGGGAAACCGGAGCACCTGGAGGAAACCTATGCAGACACAGGGAGAACATGCAAACTCCACTCAGAAAGGCCCTGTTCCGACCGGGATTCAAACCCAGGACCTTCTTGCTGAGAGGCGAGAGTGCTTACCACTCAGCTGCTGTAATGTGCGTAGTCGTGAAATTTCCCCTCTGGGGGACGAACAGAGGTTTATCTTATCTTCAATGCATCCGGTAATCTTCTGAGAAGGATATGAAAATCGATCACAATGTTTACATGACAACACATCAACCACTAACAATGAGTGGGAAGCAGCATCCAGTGTGGGTCCTGACCAGTGGGGGAGGGTCCCAGCCAGGGGGGTAGCACAAAATTCTGGGCCCCGGGTACAAACAGTCTCAATGGGCCCCCACTACACGTTTCTTATATATATATATATATATATATATATATATATATATATGGTATTGCCTGTTTTTGAACCACCGTCACTGGCTAGTAGATGAACAATTCTTTTCCTTTGTTTATCGGTGAGATTCTCTGGCCATAATCCTGGGTCCTCTGACAATCCCTCATCATTATTACTCTGTTTCTTGGTGTCGTCTCTTTCCTCCTCAATCCTCTCCACATTCTCATCACTTTCGCTTTCATCACTTAATTCAGTTTCTACATCCTCTTCTAATTCTGCCTCTGCCTCTGCTACATGGACACAATACAGACAAAAATGATATAGAATTAGTGTATACAGTAAAACTTATAAAGTAATAACTTACTAACTTATTGAAAACAGTTCAATCATCCATCCATCCATTTTCTACCCTTTAATCCATTTCTGGGTCAGGGGGGTGACGGTCAGAGATGCCACCCAAGTCTCATAGCACCAGCCCCTCACTGACCCTCTGCAGGTGGTGAGTCCACAGGAGGACGGCTGCTCTCTGAGTGTGAGCATAGCCTTGATCTTTCAGTGGGGACTTTGGGCAAGTGGGGTGTCTTGCCCAAGGACACAACGACAGCAGTCATCAGTGGGAGTCGGTGAAGAAGGTGCAGAGGTGGGAATTGAACCCACAACCTTCTGGCCTTAAGGCCAATGCTCTACCAACTGAGCTACTGTCGCCCCCTCAACAGTTCAATCAGTGACTGATAAATGCTCACCATGCCTCACTGTCAAACCCTCACTACTAGTGCCTTCATCTGGCCATGATGCTTCTCTTCCTGAAACTGAAATAAAGTAGCTTTAATGGGTTGCAAACAGATACTATATTCCATCATTACAGTGTATAGCTATTACGTATATGC